GTGGCTAATGCAGCTAAGCTGCTAAGTTATATTTATAGAAAATGGCAGGGTAAAGCCTTTCACTGGATGGCACCAATTGCAGAATATGGACAATGTATGGGCAGAAAAAAATCTATAGATATGTTCAGCTAGGAGTAGATATTATAAATTTGAGATGATTAACCTGTGCCATGTCAGAAGGTGTGAAAAGTTCTTGCCCCAAAGACCCTGAACTGAGCTGCTCCGGGCGAGAATCGAACCTTCCATTTCCTGTTCACTCGCAAACAAAAGAGGCGCGGGAATGTCTGTACTCGCCAGTGTATGTAAAGCGGGGTATGCCTGTACTCAGTCGGAGCTCCTCTGAGACATGTCTGTGCTGCTGCTCAGTCAGCCACACTCTCCTTCCGCATACTTTTTGACCATATTTGGAAGGTTGCTGAGCAGCAGATTTAAAGAAACAGATATATCTATTACATTAAAAAACATGTTATCTGTTGTTGATCAAGTACAGGGGTAGGCAACCTTTTAGCAGCACTGTGCCGATATAGGATTGTGATGTCCCGTAGCGTGCCGGTCCTATTTTTTTAAAATTGAGGTGTGTATGCTGCCGTATTCTACTTGTGTTATTTATACTGTAATTGCTTTGTATCGTTGAATATTTGTGCATATATGAACTATTATATTGTATATGTTCAGGAGTAGTTTGTGGTATCATGTATGATACATATGAATGTGGGCTGTGTATGGGGGCTGCTTGTGGAATTGTGTGTGTGGATGGATATGTCACATTGTGTGTGTGGTAGTGTGTATGTGTGGGGGCTGTTTGGGGTATTGCATGTGAGAGACTGCATGTATGTGGATTGTTAGCAGGTTAAGTTTCTGCGGATTGTGTGTATGTTTGTGGGCTGTTCATATTTTTTGTATGAGGGGAGGGTTATTCTGCATTTCTGTGTATATATAGCAGTGTGGGTGGTTTCCCTGGGTTCCAGTGGGGACCAGGCTGGCCAGGTATAGGTCAAGGACAGGAGCTGCAACAGCAGCTGCAGGCTGCTCTACTACAGTGTGGATTCCCATTCACAAGTGCTGGGAGGAAGTGATCTGAGATCACTTCCTCTATGTGCTGCAATGCATAAATTGAGGATTGTCCTTCACCACCTTTTTGTATTAGCAGGTATCTGAAGTTTCACTGTGACTCCTGATAGGCCAGAGCCTGTTTGGCTCTAGCAGCCTTGAGTGCCGTGCAAAGAGACCTTGAGTGTCGTGCATGGCACTAGTGCCGTAGGTTGCCTACCCCTGATCTAGTATATCTCATCTTTCCATATATTTATATAAAGTGTTTAAAGTATTTTCTTTTGCTGGTGGGCGCTGTGGGATTGCTCTGTACACATGTTGCTGTGAGTCTGTCATTATCTTCAAGTGATATGTTTGGTTACATAAGCCACATTGTAGATCTCCCTGTTTTGTTCGATACAAACAGCTATTGCATTATCCTATATTTGTATTACATTTTGATGCTTCTGTAAAACTATGCATAAAATATTATTTTTGACATCTCTATAGAATTCGTACCGGTGTCTGAAAGTTTTTAAAGAAGTAGATATATGTATATATTAATGTATTTTTGCCTTATTTGTGTTAATTTTGCACCACAATCTTTATGGATGTTTTGTGTTCACAGTTTACTTTTTGTTTTTTACATATTAGAAAATGTTGCATTAAGAAACAAACTATATTTGTTTTATGAAAGCTGAGAAAATGCCAAAATGTGTACTTAAATGTGCTGTTTTCTGTTAAATATATGTTTTTCTTTCATTAGTACTTACTCGTAGTTTCTTTTATTTTGTGTGTATACCAGAGATGTTTCTTCTCTCAGTTTACAAAAATGCAGAGGGTGTACTTGAACACTGGTCTGTTAATACAGATCTTAGACAGAGTTGGGAATGCGATATTTTCCATCCTAGGTTCTATTTAAAAACTCACTGTTGACCACTGTAGGTAAAGGTATTTCTACGCTTCCCTCACCCCAGTGATCAAAACTATGTTGATTACTTTTTTCCTAGATTGCCATAGCAATGTTTATGGTTTGCAAAGTTAGATAATCTCACTGTGCCAGAGAAATCACACCTCCTACCAATGAGATCCACCTGTTAGCCTTGTGCTGTGTATTCAAACGAAGGCCATCCTCCAACTAATTATGGTACATGGTGAGTGCCCAAAAATCCGTTCTTAAGCCCCTTATGTTTTCTGTATTTGACATCATACAGAATGTATCAAAAATGCAGGGCTGAGCACAGGTGCAACGATGGTGATTGGGGAAAATAAAAAGAAACCGAAACATTATTGTCCCAATTAACCCGTTAGGATGTTCCATGTTGTCCTCTGCAAAGTTGGAATTAACGTTCGGATGGCGTGGTACTTCCGTTTTGGTAAGAGCAGGATTAAAGTTGTACCCACACCACAGTTAACCAGGTATCAATCAATTCCTGGTGTTTCCTTTTGTCAGGTTGAGTATATTTAGTGGCCCCTGATTTAGTGTCAATTTCTGGCTGCCCACAGTCAGAAGGGGACACATCAGACTATGAAAAGACTGGCAGGGTCTCCCCACATGCGATTCTCTGTCTCAGCAAAAAAATTCCTATTCTGATTTGAGCATATGGAATTACTCAGTTAGAAATAGCAGTAGGATAAGCATTAATGCTGTTATATGCTCAGGTATAGTGTAGGATTAAGATTAGAGTAGGTATATGATCAGGGGCGGACTGACCACTTGGGCACTTAGGTCATGGACCGAGGGCCCGAGGCAGTCAGGGGCCCGGCAGCACAGCCATGCTCCAGCTGGAGAGATCAGAGATCTCTCCAGCTGGAACGGCAAAATAATAAAATAAAACTTTTTAATTGATAGGTTGTGGGGCCCCTGATGCAGCGCGGGGCCCCACAACCTACCGCTCTGCACATCCCCCCCCCATGAGACCTGGCAGCTTCACCTCCTCCCTGCCAGGTCTCCTGCTTCCTCTCCCATGCGGCTCTGTGTGATGGGAGAGGCGGGGCCAGGAAGTGACATCACTTCCTGTTTACTCCTCTCACACAGAGCCCAGCATGGAGAAGGAGCAGCAGGCGGGGAGAGAAGAGGGAGCAGAGATGCAGGTAGGCACCAACCACCCCCTTCCCCCTCCCCCTCACTATCACCAGTCACCCCCCTCACTGTCACCAGTCACCCACTGTCACAGTCACCCCCTCACTGTCACTAGTCACCCCACCACTGTCACTAGTCACCCCCCTGTCACTAGTCACCCCCCTCACTGTCACTAGTCCACCCCCCTCACTGTCACTAGTCACCCCACCACTGTCACTAGTCACCCCCTCACTTTCAATGCTAGTCACCCCCCCTCTCCATGTCACTAGTCCACCCCCCACTGTCACTAGTCACCCCACTGTCACCAGTCACCCCTCACTGTCTGATCACCCCTCACTGTCACTAGTCACCTTCTCCCTCACTCTGTCACTAGTCACCCTCTCCCTCACTCTGTCACTAGTCACCCTCTCCCTCACTCTGTCACTACTCACACCCTCCCTCACTCTGTCACTAGAGTGAGGGGATGACTGGTGACAGAGTGAGTTAGGGGGTGACTAGTGACAGAAGGAGGGATGGAGTAGTGACAGAGGGAGGTGGTGATTAATGACAGTCACCACCTCCCTCACTCTGTCACTAGTCACCCCTTCCCTCACTCTGTCACTAGCCACCCCCTCACTCTAGTGACAGTGAGGGAGGGTGTGACTAGTGACAGAGTGAGGGAGGGAAGTGGTGACTAGTTGACAGCGTTAGGGAGGGAAGGGGTGACTAGTGACAGAGTGAGGAAGGGGGTGACTAGTGACAGAGGGAGGTGGTGACTAGTGACTAGTGACAGTCACCACCTCCCTCACTCTTTCACTAGTCACCACCTCCCTCACTGTGTCACCCCCTCCCTCTGTCACTGGTCACCCACTCCCTCCCTCACTCTGTCACTAGTCACCCCTTCCTTCCCTCTGTCACTAGTCACCCCTTCCCTCACTCTGTCACCTGTCACCCCCTCACTCTGTCACCCCCTCACTCTGTCACCCCCCTCACTCTGTCACCCCCCTCACTGTGTCACTAGTCACCCCCCTCACTCTGTCAATAGTCACCCCCTCACTCTGTCAATAGTCACCCCCTCACTCTAGTGACAGAGAGAGGGAGGGGGTGACTAGTGACAGAGAGAGGGAGGGTGTGACTAGTGACAGAGAGAGGGGGTGACTAGTGACAGAGTGAGGGAGGGTGTCACTAGTGACAGAGAGAGGGAGGGGGATGACTAGTGACAGTCACCACCTCCTTCACTCTGTCACTAGTCACCCCCTCCCTCACTCTGTCACTGTGTCACCCCCTTCCTCACTCTGTCACTGTGTCACCCCCTTCCTCACTCTGTCACTAGTCACCCTCTCTCTCACTCTGTCACTAGTCACCCCCTCCCTCACTCTGTCACTAGAGTGAGGGGGTGACAGAGTGAGGGAAGGGGATGACTGGTGACAGAGTGAGGGAGGGGATGACTGGTGACAGAGTGAGGGAGGGGGTGACTAGTGACAGAAGAAGGGAGGGAGTAGTGACAGAAGGAGGGAGGGAGTAGTGACAGAAGGAGGGAGGGAGTAGTGACAGAGGGAGGTGGTGACTAGTAACAGTCACCACCTCCCTCACTCTGTCACTAGTCACCCCTTCCTTCCCTCACTCTGCCACTAGTCACCCCTTCCCTCACTCTGTCACTAGTAACCCCCTCACACTAGTGACAGAGTGAGGGAGTGACAGAGAGAGGGAAGGGGGTGAATAGAGACAGAGTGAGGGAGGGGGTGACTGTCACTAGTCACCCCATCCCTCTCTCTGTCACTAATCACTCCCTCCTAACTCTGTCACTGTGTCACCCCCTCCCTCACTCTGTCACTAATCACCCCTCTGTCCTTAGTGACAGAGTGAGAGAGGGGGTGACTAGTGACAGAGAGAGGGAGTGGGTGACATAGTGAGGGAGGGGGTGACTAGTGACAGTAGTGAGAGAGGGGGTGACTAGTGACAGAGTGAGGGAGCGGGTGACACAGTGACAGAGTTAGGGAGGGAGTAACTAGTGACAGAGAGAGGGATGGGGTGACTAGTGACAGTCACCCCCCCTCACTCTGTCACCAGTCATCCCCTCACTCTGTCACTAGTCACCCCTTCCCTCCCTCACTCTGCCACTAGTCACCCATTCCCTCACTCTGTCACTAGTCACCCATTCCCTCACTCTGTCACTAGTCTCCCATTCCCTCCCTCTGTCACTAGTCTCCCCCTCTCCTTCCCTCTGTCACTAGTCACCCACTCCCTCACTCTGTCACCAGTCACCCCCACTCACTGTGTCTCCCCCTCACTCTGCCACCACTCAACCCCTCCCTCACTCTGCCACCAGGTACCCCCTCACTCTGCCACCTGTCACCTTCTCCCTCACACACTCTGTCACCTGTCACATATGCATTCACACAGACACTATATACAAAAAAGCACATGTAGTCATCCAGACATGCACAAGTGCATTCACACAGACTCAAATACAAACATGCATTGATACACAGGTCTTCACAATACACACATCCAAAGGAAAGCCGTATTATGAATTATATTTAACATTTATTAAAATGCACATATATTTGGCCTTCAAAGGGCCTGGGATCTAATTTTGCCCGGGGGCCCCAAAGGCTCTCAGTCCGCCCCTGTATATGATAAGTTTTAGGGTATGAATAGGAAAAGGTTTGGTATATGCTTAATGTTAAAATCTAATTTAGAACTTGGACATATGAGGCATTTAACAATCAGGACTGATACTACACCGGTTACAACAGGTTTTGGTGTCAATAAGACAGGAAATGTAGGGTCAACATATTAACTCATTAACATAGCATTCCAAAGAATATTAACAAGGCAGTAACACATGTAATTGTTCAACTCGGACAATATTACGCATTCTCCTATATTATAGAAGTCTTTTCTCATCATTTAGTTTTTTTTTGTAGTCTCTCCCCTCCCCCCTTCCTATAGAGTGGCTTCCTTTCCTCACTTTTATCCTTTATAAGTCCATCGCATTCCGTGTATCTGATATTTTAGATTGTGTTGAGGACTTTTGGGGTATGTAGGGTAGATGCGGTGACTTACGGTTGCTGTGTGGCAAAGGCTGACGTCCGTTCTTGAAGTGTCCCTTGCGGGATAGCTTCTTCTGGTTGAGTGATTACATTGTATGCCCATGGGTCTGTCTTCTGTCCCTGCCGGTCCTGCTATGTGATTGCGGTAACTGTGCCTTATGGTAGGTTGGTCTCTGTGTATTCGGTTTTTGTGTAGGTAAGTGAAGTGTTGTATACCTACTATTTTTTTTTTTAAGGAACATGAAGGATATTAGGTAAAGAACTATATACAGTGTGGGTAGCTCTCATGCAACTCAGCTGCCTGCCTTGTGATGCTAAAAGGCCTTATTCAGAACCGTTCAAGCCATTTACCAAGTCCGTGTATATTGCAAAAAGGGCCTCAAGTGTAGCCACATGACTGGTGCTTATGTGAGGAATGCTGCCCTAGTGGAGAATAAGTTCAGCAAGTAGGTATGGTACTTTTTTGGGCACCCTGACATGCATTCGCGTAGGTGAAAGCGGTGCTCTGTGTTTTATCATTTTTTCTTTTGGGGGGGGTGCAAGTTTCACTTAATGTGTAAAATAAAAGAATAATTAAAAAAATATATATATAAAAATCACCCCTCCCATTTTTTTTTTTTACATGTTTTTTTGGTATGCCTATAGATTAAAAGAAATCTTTCTACCCTTTATAAAAAAAACAATATATAACATGTATGGGGGCTCTTAAAGAGAAAAATAATATCACCTTAGTTTGCCGTGGGCAATAGGTCCCCTGATCTCCAGTCCAATTCAGAGGTGGAAAAACAAGATTGATTTTTAGGGGACAGCCAGTATTTTTTTTTTTTACAGATTGAGTAACAGTAGAGAGGAAAAATGCAGGAGCAATAAAGTAATCTATCTAAGCAGGATTCTTCCAGACACTAATAATGAAGACGGATCAGGAGTGATATACTCTTGCTGTGCATGTGTGGGATTGGGAGGTAGCCTGTGTCATTGCTTCTAGTGTGAGCCAAGGTATAACTTACTGCTGTATCTACCTAGCTAGTTACTGTCAGGAGCTCTTGACATAACTTTGAGTAGGATATTGTCATTGAGACTAGATTTAAGATACTGTTGTGTCTATCTACCTAGCAAGCAGCATAGTTGATGTCAGGGGCACTTGAAATAACTTTGAAAGGAAGATAGGGGATTGCCATTATGTAATTGATCATAGAGTGATCCCAATTACAACTTACAATTTGTTTTTGTTTTGTTTAGTATGGTTTGGAGTGTGTTCGGTAAAAAACATCAATTCCTCTTGCCTAGCTACTGCCACATTGACATTCAACCTACTTTGAGGTAGAAAGCCTGCTTCATTCATCTTAATGTGACACTGATTGTTATGGTTAGTTAAGTGTCTTAGTGCTAGCCACTGCCACTTAAGCCTACAGTTTACAGTTTTACATGCATTCTTTTGTTTTTATTTACTTTTTTTTTTTTTTTTTAAAGAAAATCCTTTTGGGGGGTAGTGTATTGCTCAATAATATTTTTAAAAAAAGAAAAGTTTTATCTTGCCAACTTCTACCACATTGGCAATCATACAAACTTTCAGCATAATTCACTAAAGTTGAAATGGAAGAATATCCGACTATTTTTACCTTAGGTTTGAAATCCACTTTGAATTCTTACCTTAATGAATAACCCTATTTGAGCAAGAGATAGTCTTCTTCAGTCAGCCTAGTGTGAGACTGGTGGTTACAGTTAGTGCAGTGTTTGGAAATATTGATATGCACTTTTCAATTTTTAAATTCACTTTGAATATCCAAACTTTTCTCTTTAGTGAATAACTCTGTAAATGGTGGGAAATCAAAGTGAATTTAATATTTTAAGCAAAAAATACTTAAGAAAAAAATTCAATACAATGTGTATTCAATTCACCTGTTTGGGAGTAAAACATGACATTTGCATTAAAATTCCCAACATTTCACACTTTATTGAATAATCCTGAAATAATGTTTGATGAGGCTGGAGGCCCAGAACCACTACATTATGCTTTAATGGTTCTGGTGCTTAGAAATTCCTATTATTTTTGGATTATCCTGCATTGATGCTTTTCAGACGGTATAAACAAACCAAATTCCTTTAAAGTTTTTTATATTATATGTAAATCAAACTATAAGTGACCAACAGAAGGAAGAAAGGATGAGAAGTAAACAGAAAAATAAATGTACACTAATACACTGCTCAAAAAAAAGGGAACACAAAAATAACATCCTAGATGTGAATGAATTAAATATTCTTCTGAAATACTTTGTTCTTTACATAGTTGAATGTTATGACAACAAAATCACACAAAAATTAAAAAATGGAAATCACATTTTTCAACCCATAGAGGTCTGGATTTGGAGTCACACTCAAAATTAAAGTGGAAAAACACACTACAGGCTGATCCAACTTTGATGTAATGTCCTTAAAACAAGTCAAAATGAGGCTCTGTAGTGTGTGTGGCCTCCACGTGCCTGTATGACCTCCCTACAATGCCTGTGCATGCTCCTGATGAGGTGGCGGATGGTCTCCTGAGGGATCTCCTCCCAGACCTGGACTAAAGCATCTGCCAACTCCAGGACAGTCTGTGGTGCAACGTGACGGTGGATGGAGCGAGACATGATTTCCCAGATGTGCTCAATTGGATTCAGGTCTGGGGAACGGGCGGGCCAGTCCATAGCATCAATGCCTTCATCTTGCAGGAACTGCTGACACACTCCAGCCACATGAGGTCTAGCATTGTCTTGCATTAGGAGGAACCCAGGGCCAACTGCACCAGCATATGGTCTCACAAGGGGTCTGAGGATCTCATCTCGGTACCTAATGGCAGTCAGGCTACCTCTGGCGAGCACATGGAGGGCTGTGCGGCCCCCCAAAGAAATGCCACCCCACACCATTACTGACCCACTGCCAAACCGGTCATGCTGGAGGATGTTGCAGGCAGCAAAACGTTCTCCACGGCATCTCCAGACTCTGTCACGCCTGTCACATGTGCTCAGTGTGAACCTGCTTTCATCTGTGAAGAGCACAGGGCACCAGTGGTGAATTTGCCAATCTTGGTGTTCTCTGGCAAATGCCAAAAGTCCTGCTCGGTGTTGGGCTGTAAGCACTCTCATGGAGTCTGTTTCTGACCGTTTGAGCAGACACATGCACATTTGTGGCCTGCTGGAGGTCATTTTGCAGGGCTCTGGCAGTGCTCCTCCTGTTCCTCCTTGCACAAAGGCGGAGGTAGCGATCTTGCTGCTGGGTTGTTTCCCTCCTACGGCCTCCTCCACGTCTCCTGATGTACTGGCCTGTCTCCTGGTAGCGCCTCCATGCTCTGGACACTACGCTGACAGACACAGCAAACCTTCTTGCCACAGCTCACATTGATGTGCCATCCTGGATGAGCTGCACTACCCGAGCCACATGTGTGGGTTGTAGACTCTGTCTCATGCTACCAATAGAGTGAAAGCACCGCCAGCATTTAAAAGTGACCAAAACATCAGCCAGGAAGCATAGGAACTGAGAAGTGGTCTGTGGTCACCACCTGCTGAACCACTCCTTTATTGGGGGTATCTTGCTAATTGCCTATAATTTCCACCTGTTGTCTATCCCATTTGCACAACAGCATGTGAAATTGATTGTCACTCAGTGTTGCTTCCTAAGTGGACAGTTTGATTTCAATGAAGTGTGATTGACTTGGAGTTACATTGTATTGTTTAAGTGTTCCCTTTATTTTTTGAGCAGTGTATATTATACATACTAGTTACTTTTTCTCACTTGATCTATAACCCAAATGGTGGGAAATGTGCCTATCATTGTATTATAAAATTTATACATATTTATTTTATTATGACACCTTTTTGGGTTTGTCCAAATTATTTCCTCAAATATTTTGCATGGACAATATTCGTAAAAGCCAAACCTTCAAATGAACGAGATAGTCCCAAACTAAATTTCATTTTTGGGAAAAAGGGTTTGGCCAAACCACATGTTTCTACCATGCACAAGTCTAGTTTTTATTTTTTATTTCCAATTTTAATTCACATGGTCTTTCACTACAACACACACAATTTAATTCACCGATATAAGATATTAAAATTAAACTTTCAAGTTGAAGGCTCTAGGGATATTGTCAGATTACTTTTAATTATCGACGCATAGGACTTATCAAAGGCATCAAGACTCTCCAGGGCTTAGAACGCTTGGCACTGCAGATTCCCACATTGCAATTATATATACACGTATATTAGTGCCCCGAGGAATTAATATTCTGATGCAACAAACCTCGTTAATTCAGAGAACATAATTTACATTGTGAATCTGATCTGTGTAAAATTCTCTGAAAGAAATGTATGTATCATCTTAACATTAAAGGGACATCTCAGGCTAAAGATAACCTTTTTTTTTTTAATTCTTTATTTATAGAAAGAGGCCAATGGTAAGCATACTAGTCGTGAAGAGGACAAATTACAGTCAGTAAACTGACTACAAATTATAGTTATGAAATATCAAGTGAGGGATGACAAAAAACAGTATCAAACTTGCACAAGGTCGTAATCAGAACAGATTGACCATTTAACCTCTAAAATTTTTATAATGAACGGAGAACTATTTAAAGAAAAATAGATACAGAAAGAGAGGAAGAGGGAAGATAGTGTGACCCCACCCAAAACTACACAATGGCCTCATGATGTATTGTTTTTTGCGCTTAGCTCATCCATAATGCTCTTTTCCTCAATTTTGAGTGAAACTTCTTCCAGGGCATGTGGCCTCCATTTTTAACCAACCTGCTACCAAAACCCTTATAGCCGCTATAGAACTCAGGTTTAATAGTTTGAGTGTGTTTTGGCATTCCGTCAGGGGAAGCCAGAGGTCGGAGTAAGAGAACAAATAGGCCAAGGTCGGAAGCCATTTGGAGAACACTGGATCAATATACACAATAACAGGAACTAGAGTCAATGAACTGACACTGCCTCAGAGAGAGGCAGTGTTTTATACCTTGCTAATTAGCGATATGCTTCAGGTGGACCGAGATCGATAGGAGCAGCCACAGGAAAAGTCCAGCCCCCAGTGCTGGAGACAAGGCAAGGATAAACATCCAGATGAAACAAGAACTGAAGTGTGGCTCAGAGACAAGACAACTGGCCCAGGACACAGAAGGATCCAGGTTCAATTCCTCTGTGTGGTGGCCAAGCCTGGCAGTCTGGATGGCACAGTGTGAACTGTGACACCGTGGTTGTCACTCCCTGATGGTGGCCCTGAATGAAGGGAAATAAGGCCTTTTTTTTAAAACACCTTCAATGCAGAGATGCTCAAATGTAGTAGGTTAGGACATTGCCGTCTCCTTAATGCCTGTTGATTAAGCGAACTTTTGTATTTGCAGATAGCGAAAAAAGTCAGTCGGTTAATTAAGTTTCTTGTTTAAGTTTTTCAAAACGTGCGACAGAGCCAGCCAGCCACAGCTGGAGATATCACTGAATTCCCACAATCTCCAGATTCCTGAAATCGTGCGGTCTCATGCCTGGAACAAACTGTTTATTGCACAGACCTGTGGTCATCAGAGACAGGGTACTAGCTAGGTCATATTTAATTTTACGTCTATCCCAAAGATCTAGAGAGTTTAGAACTTAGGGGTGGTGCGAAGGAGAGCTTGTGATGATGTAGGATGGTAGGAGAAGACCTAAATTTCTAATGATTTATTTATATAATGCATTACAGAGGAATTCATAAAATAATGAAACTATTAATAGTAATCGTAAATTTAAAAACATATTAGTTAGCACCTCTAAATTTTGCAAATTTCTGACATATCTGCAGGGTTTACAAAACATGCAGTTCAGCACGGGGCAGTAGTTAGCTTAATTAAAATCCACAAATTAAATCACTGCACTATAATGTTAGAAATGCAATGTATTTTGCCTTCCTATTTAGATCATTTCCCACCCATGCGCGAAAAGTAGAAATTAAAATAATTTTTGCTACCTTACATCTCTTGCCTCATAGGTTTCACTGCGGCAACCGCTCTGCCCCAGCTAAGATCATCAGTGGTGGTGATGATCTCATTGATGAGGAAACATCCGATCACATTTGATTGGTACATCATCTCCTAGGGGGAGCGTTCTGGGTCTTCTTGCAGAGGATGAAGATGCTGTCATATTGCCCTGAAACACAGAATTTAGGACAACTAATACAGACAATTTATTTAGAATGGACAGGTTTAATGTGCAAAAGAGAGAAATCGTAGTCAACTACTAGCAAGATCAGAGTAATTGAGAGATAGAATAAACATAGATACTAGCCATGTTCAGGAATACAGAAAATCAGGAAATGTATAGACTAGCCTGTAGCGGAACTGCAATCCTGAGACCGAATATCTCTGCTGAAGTCCTCTCGTGCTGGAAGAAAGCCCTGCTAAGTGACTATAGCCCATTCCCCCAGTGACTGGACAACACACACAGTTCTGGGAGTCAAGTGAGGTTTATTGAGCCACAACCGGCTTTTTATGCACAGAAACCCAGCATGGGGTCTCCATTGGTAATAGTACAAACCCCTCCTAGGCGCCCCTGTGTCAAGAGTCAAAACAAAGCTAACTCAATTATCTCTCAGTTACAGGAGCTAGTACAAAACATCAAAAAATACCCCAAAACCATATCAAAATATTACAGGAAATCCACAAATCTTAGATCCCTGATTTGGCTGGATCTGAGCACCCAAGTTGTCCAAATAATGCTCAGATCCGTTCGGTAGAAAGAAATCGCCATTCGGGTAAAGGTTTGACCGGCAGGTGGCCTGTCTATTTTCGGGGATTCCTGCACGAACACCGACGAACACTCCCCCTGGCTTTTAAGGAGTGAATGCTCCCCCTGTTCGGTAGTTCCAATGACCTATCTGTTCGGTAGTTTCTATAGCAGCGGTACAAGTTTCTCTGGAGTACCCGGGCTTGCGTAGCTGTCCCAGAGTTCCAGACACTCAACAACCATGTACTGCTGCCTGCGTTTGGGAGAAAAAATGGCTGCCATTCACTAGAGCACATGTTCGGTTATCCGAATGGTGGCCACCTAGGGAAAGCACTTGACTTAATTGTTCCTTTGAAGTTAACGAGCCAGGGGTGGTCAGTGTCCGAAGGTTATAAAAGGGGGGACCACACATGCTCTATTCTGTCCACGAACAAGGGGGTACGAATCAATTCGGGAAATATGGAGATAGGTACAGGAAACCAAAAGGGAGTAGTGCAGAGCCCGCCACATAGCCAGGTCATGGTTACAGAAGTACTAATATCCAGAAATAAGAAAAAGTCAATATTAGAAAATACAGACAAGATATAAGAATGGGTACTGAATACAGAAACCACAATATGGCACAGTAATTGGGTCCAAAATACTTTGCATATTGTTAGGTGCTTACTGATTGGTTCATGACACGACCACAAAATGTGAGGGATTATGGCGGACCGGAAGTGAGGCAGTGTGACTTGTGTCTCTATAAAGACGTGCTCCGTGTTTGAGCTGCATCCACCATGCTATCAGTGTAGGTATCCTCCAGTGATCATTTCGACACACGCGACACACTGATCGGTTGAGTTGAGCCACAGATGCTGAATGTCTTGCAAAGATTGCAGGACCGCAACAAAAAGCACCTCTAGTGACTTTCTGAGTGCCAGTCACTAGAGGTCATTATAGAAGGCAATATAAACACTGTTTTTTTCTCAGAAAAGGCAGGGTTTGCATTCCTGAGACCACAGGGACAGTCTCTTTACACAAGAACCTCCATTCTTTTTCCAGCCGTTCCATTCTATAGTAATCACTGTCCAATATAGACGTACTCTGTGATTAATCATAGATGAGGTTTCTCCAATTCCTTAAAAGTCATAGCTACATTCATTGTTCATTCATAAAATAACTCTGAATTTCCATAAATAAATTATGAATGTAAAAAATGAAACAAAAATAGTTGAACTGAAGAAATTATCAATGCCAACCATAATCAGAAGATGTCTATTTTTGCCTCACTTTTGCTATTCTGATTTAATTTGCGAAAAGTTGGACTTTAATGAGTAACCCCGAGTATCTCCAAATTAGTTTTAGGTTTGCTATGTGACTCTGAAAACATTTAGGATTACAAGTAAACTGTCTGTCTATATGTCATTCCTTCTGTCTGTCTATCTATATGTCTGTCTGTCTATCTATCATTAGTTTTTTAAATATGTTGATCAGATTACTGTTGAGTTTGGTCAACATTTTCCCCTATTTGTTCCTAATACACATTTATATTTAAAGGAACATACCAAGCATCAGACCCACTAGTGTCTGTGTAGTGGTTATGGTGACCAGGGGTGCCCTGATGTTGTCCTTTTGTAAATAGTCAAACCACGTTAGTATGGCTTAACAAGTTCACTGGAATATGCTGGGTGCTTGCGGCCACAGACCTTGCGTAAGAACCTCTCCTTTAGGAGAATCCAGTTATCGCTACAGAGCATCTCATCCAAAAACTGCAGCCCTACATTCGACTGTGCTTTGCACTGATGTTCAACTTCTCTGGCAGTTAAAGATTGCATACTGTGCAAGTACCAAGGGGAGCCAGGAAAGTTCACAAACCATACTAAAATGATTTGCCTACTTACCATGGGATGGAGTTGGGGCATTTTTCGCACCATTACTACTTTAGTGGGCTGTAGTGGTTATGGTATTTGAAGTGTTTGATACATTTCTTGATCAGTAAAAAAAAAAGCTTAATCTGTCCTCTTATTCTATGAATGTATTACTAAGTGGATCCCAGGGAAGTCATAATGCTCTGGACATTAACCTATAAGAACTCATCAAGGAACACACTTTCCAAAGGGGGGAGGGGTGTTCATTAAAATACCAAACAAGTAAGGCAGGCTATTTAACTGACACAGATAAAGGAAGATTCTACATTGTACTACATTCTACAGATTATGTGTCCATAAGATGGAACTTTCACCTGTGTCTAATGTTAACCTGAAACACCGAGCAGGTAATATTACATGTTTTAATACTTTCCTATAATTCTCTTACTTTAAATAAATAAATAAATGTATCAATGAATTAATCTGTAACCTCTGATTAAATCCATGTATATTACGGACAATATAACCAATTCCCAAATAAGAGATGCCAATGAATACAGCCATAGTGTAAACAATCCGAGATCATGTTGTGTACGTACAATATGAAAATATGTTATACATAAATAGATTTTAAAAAGCTCATGCTAAATGTATGCAGTGCAATATATGGAATTGTTTTGCATACATATTTTGTTACTCTCATAGCCATACAAACATGAATTATTCTTGTTAGCGTATATATTGAATAAGATGATAAATAAGTCTGAATAAGATGATAAATAAGTCTGTGGAAACATGTGAATTGTTACAGTGCTTTATAAATTTTTTATATTATGTGTACATGATGTAACATTTTACTTTGAAATGGTTACGTAAGCATTTCTGCTACAATCAACCTTTGATCATTGTGTTGAGTGGTGTGTTCAATTAAACATTTAATATTTACATGATAACAGCCAAAATGAAAATATAGATTATTACAAAAATTATTCCAGATGGGGTATTTTCACCGGGCATTCAAAGTGAATTTCAACATTACGGTCAAAAGAGATAAAATTGAAAAATTATCTAAGTCAGCTATGTTTTCAGTTCAAGTACTCACATTGAATTCTCAATTTAGTACAAATAAATCCTGATAGTTTGTAACCTAATTGCAAATTTAGTGAGAATATAGTGTAAAATGGTAAAAAAAAAAAACAAATTAGCCTCCCACAGCTTTGTTCTAATATTTTATAATTTTGCTGATAATATTTTTAAATCATTGTTCTTTGAATATATCTCTTACATGGTTATTTGCTAACAGTTTTAATTATTAAACTCAGAAAAATGCACTGAATTAAAAACGTCTGTTAAGGTGCTGATAGGCATGAAATGCGTCAGTGGTGGACCTTTTGCTCCCGCCTGTATGTCCTATCAACATGTCTTTTTCATTGTAATAAAGGTCATTTATCTGAATCTTTGTATTGAGGCTTTTTTTCTTCTTCTGTATGGAGACGTTCAGAGTTTCAGCTTTTTCTTTTTAAATTTAAAATGTATCTAACGTTTTTTTTTTCTTCTAATAGCTGAGTTGAAGATTTTTCCAGATCACTTATATTAGCCTCAATTTTCTCTTTCAGGTTTTAATTTGGTGCAGTTTTGGAGTTCAGTAAATAAGCCTCCTGTTTTGGGGAACTGACCAGGTAATTTGAAATTTAGAAGCAAAATTGCTGAACTGGAAACAAAGCAAAGTCTATTTAATTTACAAAACAATCTTCATAAAAAAAATAGAATATTACATAATGTAAAAATAATTAAAAATATATAAAATCACAACAGTTTATTAAACATATTTTTTTTCTACAGGCTGAACATTTTTAATGAAACTCAATAAAACTGCCTTTACAGACTTTATTCTCCTTGGGTTTTCACTTTCAGATGAAACCAGTTTTTGCCTTTTTATTCTTATATCTATTGTTTATGTTGTCACAATAACTTCCAATGTTGTGATTATTGTCATTGTTACCATGGAACGAAACCTTCACAAACCAATGTACTTCTTTATTGGTGGACTTTCCTTCTTGGAACTCTGGTATCCGACAGTGACAGTTCCGAGACTGTTAGGGGCTCTTTTCACACACACAAAATCAATAACTCCTGCAGGTTGTTGGTCTCAATATTATTTCCATTTTGCATGTGGAGCCACAGAAAATTTCCTCCTGGCGATCATGGCCTTTGATCGCTATGTGGCCATCTGCAAGCCATTGAGATACATAGTCATCATGACTCCCAAGTTTTGTATGAATTTATTATTGGCCTCCTGGATTTTTAGTTTCATCATAATTGTTATCCCATGTTTACAGATCTCAAACCTAGTGTTTTGTACTAATGAAATTGACCACTATTACTGTGACTTTGGTCCATTGCTAAAGCTATCCTGTTATGATGTCTCATCTGTAGAAAATGTGTTTTTTGCAATATGTTGTTTTGTAATTTTGGGGTGCTTTATACCAGTCACTGTGTCTTATGCACTAATTATTTACACCATAATCAGGTTTTCATCCTCATCTGGACGATACAAAGCCTTTTCCACTTGTGTGTCTCATCTAATTGTTGTCTTTATATTTTATAGTACCACCATTTTCATGTTTATTATACCGACCTCAGGTAACGTTTTGCACGTAAATAAAATAATCTCTATCTTCCCATCTATAGTGACCCCTCTTCTTAATCCAGTTATTTATACTCTTAGAAACAAAGAGTTTAAAGAGGCTGTGAAAAAAGCATACACTAGACTTCATTTTTGGGAATCAGAACAATGAAATCTTTATATATTGGTCATCATTTAATAATGCTACTATTTCATATATATGTAAGCCTGTCAAAATATTTGTCTATCAAGCCGTAATATTCACATTTTTAATATCCAGGTGAAATAAAAAGTAATATAATATTTAAATTATATAATAAAAAAGTATTGTGAACTTATTTTATGTTCTAGTCAATAGACTTATTTTAAATTGTAGAATAACCTGTTGATATCTTTGTGTGGCTTTATATTTGGAAGAAACATACTGTTGGGTCAACATACTGAACTTTTGCTCTTAAAAATGGACACCTGATGAGTGTGGGATTTGGGAAGACCAGCTTTATTCTTATTTAGGTAGCCACCACCCAGGTGTTATGAAATTTGAGCAGAACCTTTCATATATGCAGAATAGCCATTTAACAAGTCGCTGACAGTATAGAAAGCAGCACTCTTCCTCTCTACTAAAAATGTAATGTGTTTCTTTGTGCAAAATCCCAAATATTTCCTGTATAGGAGTAAGCCAACATTTAAAGGACCACACCTGGCACCCTAACCATTACAGAAAACAACAAGTACAGGGTGCACCAAGAACAAAGTGAGTAAATAAAACAAATAATAGAAAAAAAATACCAGAGAAACAGGCAAATCAAAGTCTCAAATTCACAGGTATATTCTTCAGAAATTCTCAAGACGTCTTGGGTCAAATCCTCATCAGCATATATGAAAGAAAAAAAAAACACACAGAGGGGACCAATGGTGCAGTAACTTAAAGGAGTATGGCCACAGACAACACTGAGGTTAAGAAATGCCAACTCACATTTATGGGAGCTATAACCAGCTCGAGTTTAAACAGCATGCAGTGGTATATAAAGTCCCCACCTGTAGGATATTCCTCTGACGATATTTTCAGTGTAGGTTATGTGAAATAAAAACACAAGAGAAGTCCCATAGTGCTCTCTATATTAAAAGAGTGCTGGATAAAATAGGAGATGTACTTACAATTTACAGAGCAGACAAACTGCTCTGGTAATGCGCCTGGGTGGAACAACAGCTCAGTGGACTTATGTACCACCAGCAGAACATACCCAACCCCTGAGGGCCGCAAGTTCAAATGCCTCCATCCTTCAAAGGCAAACAAAAGCAATATACGTGTTATGTAAAGGGAAAAGGGGGATTTACAAATATTATAATAAAAATAAATAGAGACAAAGTAAAAGCAGAAATAAAAGGTTTAATATAGGGGTAAAATATATCATTATGTACAAAATGAGCATATATACCATATTTCTTATAAAAGACATCATTAACAGTAAGATAAATAAGATTAGGAATATTAACAGGATGAATATTGGAAAATATATAATTTTGTGGAGAGTAAACATGTACATCCTATTTCTTATAAAAGACACATATATAAAATTTGTTTATTTAATATTTGATCTTTATGGTTATAAAAAATGTACAGCCATTCAAACATGCACAACCCCATGGAGGCAGGAGACATAAAAAAGATATTGGGATAATTATAGGGCATAATTATAAAAAGTTTAAAAGGTCAAAATCTGCATTTGGGCCATCTGGTGTTAATGTTTTCAAATTAAAAACCCATTCCATTTAGTTTTTTCCCAGTATCTTTTTTATGTCTCCTCCTCTCCATGGGGTTGTGCATGTTTGAATGGCTGTACATTTTTTATAACCATAAAGATCAAATATTAAATAAAATTTTTTTTTATATATGTGTCTTTTATAAGAAATAGGATGTACATGTTTACTCTCCACAAAATTATATATTTTCACTCCAATATTCATCCTGTTAATATTCCTAATCTTATTTATCTTACTGTTAATGATGCCCACAGATCTCACAGATATGGGAGGGGGTGGCCACACTTGCATCTGACAGATTGGAGATGGACATACCCAGGGATCCCTGGATATGGCTACTCTCCAAACCACACGCACCCCTAACCAGAGCCCAAAACAAACTGATGGCAAGAATGGCGCTAGCAACCAGATGCACGATAGCAGAACAATGGGGCAACCAAAATACACCCTAACTAACCACTGTGATTAGAAAAACAAATGAAGCCATGGAAATGGATAAACTGTCGGATAAACACTATCATAAAATATGGGACCCATGGACCCAACATCCCCTACCGATAAACTAAGCGGAGGACTGGGGGAAAACGAGCAACTCCCCCACTGAGCCCAACCCTAAGAAACTAGCGGACCCCCCTGAATGCAACCCCATCTCCCCCACCCCAACCCACTCCCTCCAACCCACTAGTACCTCCCAAACTTGGCCATGAAAGTAGCCACCCAAGACCACATAGACAACACACCTGCATATCGCGAAACACACCACATCTCACCCGCACAAACTAGGACCCCGACCCAACTTAACACAACTTTCACGATATACAAATCAAAACCCCCATAACCAAATGCAAGGACAAACCTAAAACCCAAGGCACCAAAGGATACCTAGCCCACAGCACATGTACACATAACTCTACATACAAAGATCAAAGGGGACAAATTACAACACAATGGACAGTTGGAAACCTCCCTAACATCACCTCACCCCACGAAACACACACACATAACACCAACAACCGAAAACCCTACAACACCAAAGTACACACTACTTAGGAGACAACACCACCAAGAAAGCCACCTCATCTCCAAACACTAGGACACCACATCCATATGAACTTCTCCAAGTGAGACAATAA